GAGGCTTTCTCCTCCCGTAAAGATTTACAGCCTCGGAAACCCTGTACAGGGTCGCTATGAGTCGGAACCGACTCCACGGCACATAACAACAACAACAATGGTGAATCGGCTTGTATCAGCCCAATCCTCCTACAGATAACATTATAAACTCTTAATAAGATATAATAAAAACAATAATCTAAAGGTACCAGACAGTAGCCAAAGTTAGGAAGAAGCTAAAGTAGATGATGTTTTGAAGAAAACAGCAGAGGTCACTGGGTGAAATTCACATTTTGTAGCTTTTTTTGTCTGAGGAAAAAAACCCATTAGTGCTGAATGAATCTCTGCAATGCATTATTCACAGTGTACAGGAAAAAAATCCACAATTACTAGAAACATGAGAAACAGGAAACTATAACCCACAGTCAAAAGAAAAGGCAAATGACAAAGACTAACCCTGAGACGATTCAGACATTAAAATCAGCAAACAAACAAAAAAAAATTTAAAGCACCTATTATAAACAACAACATTATAAATATGCACTGATACATAAGGAAATTCATGATAAATGAAGAGATGAGAAATCTCAGCAGAAAATGATGAACGATAAGACCCAATTAAAGGGTTTTAGATTACAAAAATGCCATTTCTGAAATTAAAAAAAGAAAATTTCATTCAATAACTCTACTACCTACCAGACTGGAGATGAAAAAAGACTACCATATGAATAAAATCTCAATGATCTGTAGGATAATAACAGAAACGCTAACATATATCTAAATTGGAATTCCAGAAAAAGAAAAGAGAATGAGGCAACAAAAAAAGTACTTGAAAAACAAACATAAAGATTCAAGAAGTTTAGCAATATCCAAGCAAGATAAATATAAAAGAAAATCACATCAAGGCACATTACAGTCAGAACTGCTACAAGGAATAATAAATTAACAATCCTGAATAAGTTTTTGAACAGTAACATCATTTTAATAGATTTAAAAATAATATTATTTATTAATGCATTGGTGTTGTTAGGTTACAACAAGTCGGCTCTCACATATAGCAATCCTATGCACAATGGAATCTAACACTGCTGGTCCTATGCCATTATGACACTTGTCAAGCTTGAGCTCATTGCTACTGCCACTGTGCCAATCCATCCCATTGGGGATCGTCCTCTTTTTCATGGATATTCCACTTTACCAAGTATGATACCCTTCAGTAACTGATCCCTCCTGATAACATGTCCAAAGTATGAGAAACAAAGTCTTGCCATCCTGGCTTCTAAGGAGCATTCTGGCTGTACTTACTCCAACACCGATTTTTTTGCTCTTCTGGCATTTCAAGGTACTTTTAATATTCTTCTCTTAACACCACAATTTTGATATATCAATTCTTTGTTATCCATTGT